CTCTCAGCAATTGAAAATTAATTTGATTTAAAATGGGAATTTCATGATGTAACTTTGTTTATCTTGAAGGCATTTCTTGAAGTAGTATTAAAATCTCCAAGCTTGACCCTATAGAAATCTTAAAACGATATCTCTTAAATTTTAGTGTGTGTGTAAGAATTCAGATTTCGGGTTCTTATTCCAAGATTTGACTTCAGAGATCTGGGGAGCCTCAAAAATTTTCATTTTTGTTTCATAATACAGAAATTCAGAATATATAAGAAGATCAACCACAGTGGAAATAAAGCAAGAATAAACCACTAAATTTCACACTTGTTACAAAACAACTGATATTCAGGAAAGGAAGAGAAATTGAAAGAATATTTAAAACCTGTAGTCAGAGGAGCACTATGTATCTATAATATTTTTTTGAATTTTTTTTTAGTTGTAGATGGACACAATGCCTTAATTTTATTTTTATGTGGTGCTGAGGATCAAACCCCGTGCCTTCCACATGTGAGGTGAGCACTCTACCACTGAGCTACAACCCCAGCCCTCTAAGACACTTAAGAGATAGGATAGATGTGAAATAATATTGCTTAAATTATAAATACATTCATAAGTTTAATTTATTTGGAAACAATTATATAGAAAAGCTGCAGGATTAGTATGAATTCATACACTCACTTCACCCCAATTCCCCATATTCCCCTGAGCTTGATCTTCCTTTTTCTCTCCCCCCCTTCCTGTCCACCCCCCCCTCCCAGGTCTCCACCTTTCATCTTTAGTCTTTCATTACACTTAGTCTATCCCAAATCATCCAACTTCAGACAGGATGTGCCATCATTTCCATGTACTTTGGTGGGTACCTTCCCTGCCAAATTCTCACACAACCCTTTCAATCAGGGAGTCAACCCTACCATCCATTCAACCCACAGACCTCTTTCAAATTTTGCAACCTCTCCAACCTTTCTCTTTCTTTTGTGATTCAGAGTCCATTTCAAGATCACATTGCACCTAGTTGTCAAGTCACTTTAGCCTCCTCCCATCTGGAACATTCCTGGACTTTGATCATCTTGACAGTTTTAATGACTACAAGCCTTCCCTTATGAACACTTCCCTTGATGTACATCTGTCAGGGTTTCATCATTAACGGATTCAGATCATTCATTGCTGGCTAAAGGACCACAGAAATTCTGCCGTGGTTTTCTTGACACATCACATCAGAGGGAACATGCCGTCATCCCATTTCAACATAAGTGATAACAACTGGGGCTGCCAGAACAAAGTCCCACAGACTGGATGACTTAAATGACAGAGATTTAGGCTCTCACAATCCTGGAGGCTAGAAGTCTATGAATTTTGTGGGGAAAGAGGGTTCTCTCTTTAGCTTGTAGATGACCATCTTTTCTTTGTGTCTTCACATGGTCTTCCCTAAATGCATATTGTGTTCAAATTTCCTCTTATAAAGACAGCAGTTATATTGAAGTTGGCCTTATCCTAATGATCATATTTTAACATGTTTCTTTATATCATATGGATTTATGTCTTTAAAGATCCTCTGGCTGGAGATGTAGCTTAATAGTAGAGTACTTGCCTAGTATATGCAAGACCCTGGGTTCAATTCTAGCAGTGCATTAATTAAAAAAGAAGAAAAAGAAGAATATCTTAAGGCCCTCTTATATTAAGATTTCAATTTATAAATTTGGAGAGGCACAATTCAGCCCACAACAACTTTTATCACCTGATCACGTTGTCTGTCAAGTGTCTCTAGTATAATGTCTCCCTAATTCCCTATGCAATGGATATTTTGTGGAGAAGCACACTGAAGCTATGTTGATACGTAGGGTCTTATCAAATCTCAACCCACAAGCTTTAGCATCAGTTGGTAACGTCTACCCAAGTCAATATTATTATATCCATCATTCTTTCTATATAGTTAACATTTACTGCAAAGACAAGCTTTCCCACTTGTTTGTTAATATATCAATATGGACTCGTGGCTTTCAATTTCATTCAATGGGTTTTAACTCATCCCCCACCCCATTAAATTGATTTAGATTTGACCAAGGGATTCCCTTCAAACTAGTTCCTGGATCCTTTTAAGATGTTTCCATTTAATTTTTAAGCATTTCCTTACTTACTTGGGCAATGTTACAAGTTTACAATATGTTGTCCTTGTTCTAGCCTTGGAATTAACCAGTTCTCCAAAAAGTACTGACTCCTTTTAGTGAAAAATAATGTTTGGAAACCAGTATACCCTTTGTTACTGGGGTGGGGCAAAGTGACTAGCCCTGAGCTCTCTGATGAACAGAAATAGAAGATGCACACATACTCTATGTAACTCTTTCTGTCTTTATCTAATTCCATATAACTATTTCTATCTTTGCCTATATAAACTGGGAGTCACACTGATATTATCAGTTTCAATCCAACATCTTAGGGTTCATCTCCCTGCTCCCGTATTTATATCTTCCACAGTAAAACACACATGCATGCACACACACACATAAATAAAAACCCTGAATCCCATTATTCTCATTATAGTTGTTTATTTGCTTATTCCATCCTCTCTACTATGCTGATTTTTGTTTGTTTGTTTGTTTTGTGGTGCTGGGGATTGAGCCCAGGGCATTGTGCATGCAAGGCAAGCACTCTACCAACTGAGCTATACCCAGCCCCCAACCTCTCTTCTATGCTGTTTTAATCTCTGTCCTTGGCCCTTGCTATCTCCTTGCTCAGTCATCTTATCTGAGTTCATATTTATGCTGGAAGTATCATTGTTTATACTTATCGAGAAAGACTAAGCTTTTCAAGGTAAATCACTGTAAAAACTTAGTTCGCATTCACTCCTACAGACAAGACTGTAGGCTACAAAATACCTCATGATCCCAGTTATAAAACACTGAAAAAAATTTTGTTCTATGATATATACGGATTAAAGAAATTGGAATTTGTTTTCTGAAGTAAAAGCCTGTCGTCACCCCCCGGTTATTTTGCCCAGCCAGCCGGGCTGCGGCAAAAGCCATGCATTTGCTGACTTATCATTATATGGTTCTGTAGGTTCTTCTAATAGTCAGACAATTCCCGGCCTTGAGGTATTGCCTTCTCTAACAGCTTGCTCTATATGGTATGTATGTTTAGCAGATGTCAATCTAGACACAACAGCACAACTGGTTGCTCTGAGCACTAATCAGCTCCTTTCATAATAATATAATAATATTATTACTATTTCATGCATATATGCCCACCAGATCTTTAAAACAGCTCTGTGAAAGAGGCACAGTGGTGTACTCATGTAATCCCAGTGGCTCAAGAGGCTGAGGCAGGAGAATAAGAATTCAAAGCCAACCTCAGCAAAAGCAAGATGCTAAGCAACTCAGTAAGACCCTGTCTCTAAATAAAATACGAAATAGAGCTGGAGAGGTGGCTCAGTGGTTGAGTACCCTGAGTTCAAACACGGGGAAAAAAAAGTCTCTGTGAGATGGTCAGGGCTATGGTACTGTGGTCTCTACTCCACTGAGGAAGAGAGCAAGGCTCTAAGAGATGCAGTTAGTGCCCAGCGCAGACTCTCACAGCAGAGAGTTGACTGATCCAATCAAAACTATATCCCCTCCAAATTTAGCCAACTTTTTATCTTTTTATGGAAAAGAAAGTATAAAAATAGAAACTGCAGTTATATAACCAAAATAAATAAATAAACTCCGATGTCTTTGCCAACTGGTGAAAACCTTTCAGTTTAAGAACCTTTTCTGCCTAGAAAAGTCAACTTTAAGTATCCTTTCCAGATGCGTGGATAGGGGAACCATTTGGTTCCCCTACTTTCTCTGCTGAAGGAAATGACAGTCACTATATTGCCAGATGAATCAGATGTTAATCTTTCCACATTGTCCTTTTCGCAAAGCACCTTGGCCCTATATACTCACCAAACCCTTACACAGCAAAAATGCTGCTTCACCTTTGCTCCGTATGGCTGAGTTTCAAAGTATCACTGAACTGCAATGACGGGTTACAAATCTACTGCTTTGCTTAAGCTGAACTGCTGCTAATCCTCCCAAACAGATGAAAAACTCTCCCATTCTGAAAATAAAACTGGAAAAGATATTCCACAACAGCAAGTGGATGAAGGCTATTTGGAAAAGAAGTGATTTTTTTTCAATATCCATTCCACTTGCATATATATATATATATATTTAGATGTTGATGGAACTTTATTTTATTCATTTATTTATATGCAGTGCTGAGAATTAAACCCAGTGCCTCACACATGCTAGGCAAATGCTCTTCCCCTGAGCCACAACCCTAGCCCCTCCACTTGCTTATTTTAAACTACCTACAGGTCCTATTTTATGTCCTCAAAAATTATTAACAGCTAACATTTATTGAGCGCCATTTAAGTACTCTTTACACATAAAAGATGTAAAAATGGGGCTCATCCTTTCCTACTAGTGGCCTAGGCATGAAGACAGTAAATATTCAATAGCAAATTAAGTTGTAGAACAGATCTCCCCAGAAGGACCACAAAACAGGATTTAGTTGAAAACTTGTTACCAAACTATGACTCCTTTAGTCAAGCCAAATGCAGTCATGTGTCATTTAACAACAGGACTGTGTTCTGAGAAACTGGCCATCAGTTTGTTTCATCATTGACCAAATAGCACGGTGTGTACTTACACAAACTCAGATGATAGAGGTCAATCACTCCACATGGCTTCTTGATATAATCAAGAGCCATGGTAAATGTGGGTTGTATGAAGCTGCTGCCAGTGTAACAGCACATTTTAATAAGTAGGAGTATACTCTAAAATAAAAATGGCATAGTAAATACATAAACCTGTAATATAGTCATTTATTATCATTATCATGCATTATGGACTGCACGTGATCATACATGCTATGCTCTTTATAACAGGCAATGCCGTAGGCTTGTTTACACAACAAACTTGTGAGTAATGCCTTGCCCTAGAATGTCGTCAGCAACAGCAGTTTTTAGTTCCTTTATAACTTATGGGACCCCATGGTCTAAGCAGTCCATGGTGGAGGGAAACGTCATTATGGAGTGCATGCTTGCCTGCCAAAGAATTCAAACTGAGAAAACGTTTTTGAAGAAAACCTATTTGAAAAGAGGTGCTCTAAGGTTCCTTTTGCACAAAGGCCAAAGGGGTATGGTGGGCAGGTTTCCTGCTTCATCTCAGGTCAAGAAAGTTTTGCCCGGAGCTGTACAGAGCTTGTTACATGTCCCTTGCCAGGAAAATGCACAGCAGACTGTTGTATAACTTGCACCCCAAGAATCTACAAGGCAAGGGAGAAGGATAGACCAGCGGTGTCATTATCAGGGTGAAGGAGAGTTGTTGCTGCTCTCAGATCAGCCTGTGCTCCCTGTTTGTCAGGACAAAGAATCCATCCACGTCTGGACCATGAGTGAGGGGGCCTGCTTGAAGCCCCCTTAAACCTTGGAACAATGGGTTTAAACTGAAGGTAGAAGCAACCAGAAGAAAATGCATTGCCCTCAACATGGGAAGTGTGGTTGAATGCCATGGTGGGGGACATTCCACACCTTTACACATCTGCCAAGACAGATAGTGGAAAGCCATCTTCAACAGACCAGGTAAGTAAGGATTCACCACTACCATACCTCCTTCTTACCTTTCCTCTCACCTCACTGATGAGAAACCAGGTTTATCTGATTGGGAGAACAAGACTGGAGGGTTAATATGAAAGAGAAGAAGACAATCATGTCCCAAATCTGGCTTCTCATTAGAAGAACCAGGAAAACTAGGTGAAACTGGAAGCTTTTATTATTATATGGGATGTGACATCTTAAATGTCACAATGAGATTGTGCTTTGCAACTTAATGTAGTTTTAGAACCATTTAAAGATAATCAGAAATGTTAGGGAACCACCTGATTATTTATTCATGGGCAGAGAAATATCTTCCAGTGAATAAATTTCAAATGGGCAATGAGAAACAAAATAAGGTTCCCTTTTTATTATAACCTTATGTCTTGTTTATATAACGTGTTGGTCATATGTTAATTATTATTGTATTTGATCCTCACAGCAACTCAATGAGGCAGACCTATGATTATTTCTATTTTTACAGATAAGGATATAAGGCAAATAGAGGTTAAGAATCTTATCTAAAGCCACACAATCAATACAAGGTGAACTGGAATTTGACTACTCTTAATAGCCATCTTACACCTGCTTCATGGTAACCTCAAAGAATAAAAATCTGTAAATATTGGACAACAGTTTTAATATACTGTCTGTCTTTGTTCTATGTTCTAGAGAAATTCCCTACAATTCTGCACTTGTTTTCTTATAAGACTGCTCTTCTTTGCAGGATCATAATACTGTGAAATTAGATGGTTCTTTGTCAACTTTAGAGCAACCTAGCATCAAGTAAATAATGTATGTTCACAATATTTCTCTATGATAAAGAGCACAGATACCATTATTATTCCCTTATACAGATGGGAAATCTGTACCAGTCATTGTTCTTTCAGGAAAACTGAAAGCAGAGAGAAAATTAATTCAGGGAATGTTAACAAAGGTGTTTGTTTTAGTCAGTTTTGTGTTGCTGTGACCAAAAGACCTGAGAATAACTACTTAGAGGAAGAAAAGCTTAATTTAGCTTATGGAAATTTCAGAGGTTTAGTCCATAGTTGGTGGATTCCATAGCTCTGGGCCCAAAGTGAGGCAGAACAACATGGTGGAGGGGTGGCAGAGGGAAGCAGATCAGAACATGGTAATCAGGAAACAGGAAGCGGGTGGTGAGGAGAGCTCTCTGCTCACCATGACAAACTATAAGCCCTAGAAGTACATCTCCAGTAACCTATTCCTTCAGCCACACCCTACATGCCTACAGTTACCAACAAGCTAATCCACATCAATGGATCAATCCACTGATTGAGTTCTAGCTCTCATAATCCAATCATTTCACCTCTGAACATCCTTGCATTATCTCACACATGAGCTCATAGTTAAACCATACCATATCTAAACCATAACAATTTTGGCAAAGCTGGAAAGGCAAAATGAAGAATGGGGTTGCTACCCAGAGGTCAGAAGCTGCTACAGTCCCAGGGCTGGAGCCACTGTGTATCTGGAGACACTGACCCATGGGAACCTCGGATGCTCTTTGGGCCCCCTGTTGTATGCATTTGCTGGTGCTGCCACTGATGTAGGCCAGAGCAGGAAGAACCACTGCAAGATCTTCCCCTGAAGCAAGGGAATATGGGGAATGGTACAAAGGAAAGCAGAAAAGGGTGGGAGTGAGGACCCCTGTCCAGCATGGACCCAAGCAGAGGATCAATAATTACTCAGGTTAGTGGTAATCAAGACCAGAAGACAGGTCAGACATTAGGAGTCTCCAACACATTCCTTCATTTCTGACACCAACTGCCAGTTCAAGGGTCCTCAAGACGACAAATAGTTTGTATAATTTGTTACAAGAACTCAAAAGAACTCACTGAAAGCTGATATATTCACAGTTATGGTTTATCATAGTTAAAAAGAACAGATTTGAATCAACCACGGGAAGAGGCATGTGGGGCAGAGTCCAGGAGAGTTCCAAGTGCAAAGCTATCCCAGGCATGAATGCTATTCGCTCCTCCCAGCAATGGTGTGTAACAATTCATCTGAATGTTACCAACCAACCAGGAAGGTCACTCAAGCCCTGAAGTACTGAGTTTTTAATTGGGGCTCAGTGACGTAGATATGGTTAGCAACATGCATGGTTTAACTTAGTTCCCAGTTCTTTCAAAGTTCAATCTGATACCATTGTGACACAGAGCTCTCACTGTACAGGATGCTATTAGTACAGCCTATCTACTTGGACCAAGGCCCCCAGTAAATTATTAGTCAGGACATTCTTCCCAGGATCTGAAGGCCAAGGCCAGACCTGTTTTTGGACAAGGTTAATACTGTACTGGACACCAGGTCTTCTTCCTGATGGTCCTTTCATTAGTCCAGTTCTTTATTTGGTCCTCAAAGCCATGTTATAGTATAACCTGGTGTGTTAGTTTCTACCACTGTGACAAAATGCCTGAGATAGAACTTTAAATCTTTTTTTGGCTCATGGCTTTGGAGGTTCCAATCCCTGATCAGCTTACTGTGTTGCATTTATGTCTGTGGTGAAGCAGAATGTCATGGTCAGGAGTATGTGATAGGAAAAAAACTGCTCACCTTGTGGCCATTAGGAAGCAAAAAGAGAAGGAGAAAGGGTCTGGAGTTCCAGTATCCCCTTTGAGGGCACACCCCCAATGACCTAACTTCCTCTCCCTAGGCCCCACCTCCTAAAGAGTCCACTCTCTCTCCATAGCACCATCAGCTGGGCACCAGGCTTTCAACATATGCGCCTTTGGGGGACAATTTAATATTTAAACCACAGTACCTAGGATGCAAAAATGTATTTAAAATAATTTCATCATTTTTACAGAGTATACCAAAAGTAATTTCACTTATGAAATGCATTTTATGAAGCAGAAGGACTGCAAATTTGAGGCCAACCTCAGCAACTTGGCAAAGTCCTAATCAACTTAGTGAGACCATGTCTCAAGATAAAAAAATAGAAGGGGCTGGGTACATGGCGCAGTGGTTAAGCAACCCTGGGTTTATTTAATTCCTGATACCAAAAAAAGAATTACAAAGTGAAAAAGTGAAATAAAATGTTTAAAAATGATTAGAGTTTATTTTATACACTCCTTAGTAATATTTAAAATACATAGACATATTTAGATTCTCCACATTTGACCATAACATGTTATTAATTTAAATGAATTATATAGCAAAAAATAAATTAGAAACAAATTAATTCAAGAGTAATTTGTATAGTATATTATTTTAGGATCAAATGTATATTAAAATCTAGATTAAAATTTAAAATTATGTGCTATGGCAAAAACAAGCTGAGTGCTACAGATTTAATGTCTTGAGTATGTTCATAAAAAAATTGATTTATTACAATTTCCATTTTTTATTTCTATGATGAATACAGAGAAATTATTTTAAACTTCTAAATACAGGTATTTCTGTTCAAACAACATATTTCAGGTAGGAATAAATGTTTAGATTCAAAGGAAGAGTCAAGTTAGATTTAATTGACATATTTTCCTTCTCTTAATATCAGTTTTAAAGTACTAGAGGTGTTTTACTAGGCTATGTGAAACTTCTATTGAAATGAAAATTATATGTAGATATGCAATGGTCTCCTTAAAGTGAATTTGTATAATTATTATCATTTTAATAGCCTTCAACAAGTTGTTGGAGATACATACACATACACACATATATAAATATATATGTGTGTGTGTGTGTATATATACACACACACACACAAATATATATATATATATATATATATATATATATATATATATATACACACACACATATATATATATTTCCTTGTAGGGTTATGCACTCTCCTGGATTGTATCTCCAAATTCCTTGAATATTTACAAAACCCTGATTAAGGCATTCCCACCCTAGAGCTATGAACTAATTTATGTGATTAAAATTGAGCAACTGACATGACATGCTCTAACTCAAGAAAAGGACAGAGTAGAAATCCAGTGTAATTATTTTGGGGAAAATAAGACTCAAAATTTCAGGAATGCTTTAAGGAAGTGGGGCCAAATTTCCTTCTGTTTTGTAAAAGTTTTTGTTAGTACATATTAATTATTTAGCATAGTGACTTTCATTGTGGCATATTAGTACAGGCGTATAACATATTTTCATCAATTCTATTCTCCCCTATCATTGTCTACCCATTCCCTTCTCTTTCCCATCCACCATCTCCTTTCTCTTCTCTAATAGTCTTCCTTCTACATTCATGTCATCTTCCCCACCCCCAGATTCCACATATGAGAGAAAATGTGTGGTACTTGCTGAATTTGACTTTGGTCAGGTAACATGATGACCACCTCCAGTTCTAACCATTTTATGATTTCATTCTTTTTTATTGCTGAATAATATTCCACTGTGTATATATATACCATAGTATCTTTTTTCATCTGTTGATGGGCATTGTAGGCTGATCCCACAACTTTACTATTGTGAGTTGTGCCATGATAGACATGGGTATGCAGGTATCTCTATAGTATGTTGATTTTAAGACCCACATTTCATAACATCATTTCCTTTTACTTCCACTAGTGAAAACACAGCTACATGGCCATACTTAGCTATAAAGAAGATTAGAAAGTCGAGTTTTTAGCTGGTTTGGCATTTTCCAAATAAAGAAGGGGAACATGGATTTGGGGTGACACCTAGCTCTCTCCAGTGCTGTATGGTAATCAGGAAACAACATGGAAGCTTACTGCGCTCAGCAGAGGCTGCCTCGATAGAGTCACGGAATCATTAGCAATCCTACCTGATCTCCATTAATCACCTTGCATTCTCAGTTGATATATACTCAATGTCTCTCAAACTAGACAGAGATATTTGTCATGGTTCACCTCTAAACCTGGACAGTGAAACAGGTACCAGAACACTTTCTTTAAACAGTGGATGTCCACAGGCCTCTAGCTGAGAAATGTTGCCCTAAACCAAACAGGACATGAAACACTGGTGACAACACGGGTACCAGCGCCGACTCCCAGGAGTACACCGCTCTCCTCTATTCCTATCATCTAGCCCAGTCCTCTTCTCACTGTGTCTCCCAGGGGGAGCAACACTGATCTGCAAGGGTCAAAGGCAAGGGCATTTACTTCCACTCTCATAGGGGTCATTCTCTGTTTTTGAGATTTGATCATTTGGAGGATTTGCTTTATCAAGTTTCAAAAGCAGAGGCAGTCATGCCTGTGGCCGTGGCACTGCTCCTGTAGGCATCAGCCCTGAGCAAGGTCTGGGTCTTGGGTTCTGTTTCTAAGCCTGTTCTCCAGCCTTCTCAGTATGAATGGCAGCTCCTGAAAATTCCTTTATTAGATGACTTCCATCTTAAATTATTGGAGTTGGATTCTGTTGCTTGCAATATGATTACTGACAGGTACGGTTTGGGGGGATTAAATGCACTCAGATTTGCTCTCAGGAAGGAGCTCATTCCCTTTTATTACCCCTTGCATTGGGCTTATCACATCAGACTGCCCAAGAGGCTGCACTGGACTTGGCTTAGGGCAAAGGAAGCCCAAGAAGCTTCTCAGCTCTCTGTTGCAGGTACAGCCCAGAGGCCTGTCTCTAGCCTGGCCCGTATTAATTCTTCACATCATTTATTCCAGCACATGACTTTCCAGAGGATTAATAATGACAGCCATCTTTATCTTCTCTTGTTCTTTCTCCTGTCTTAGGAAATGATTTAAGTGATTGAGAGCCTGGCTCTCGCAGCCTGCTCTTTCAGATTTAATACCACAAAACATTTCATCACCTTTGACCAGCCTAGAGGACCACGCATTATATGTGAAGATCCTTGTCGATTTTGTGGGGCCTTTACAGCCAGAAAGTGCTGGCTACACAAGTCTGGAATTAGTATTTATAGAGCATAATGCATAGATACTAGACATGGGACATATTGAGAGAAAAATGAATAAAGCCTCATATGGGTTTTTGTGGAGGAGGATTAACAAGGCAGAGGTTCAAAGTTGGGAATGCCAAAAAACCTGGGGAGAGATCCAATTATGAGCACAAAATCTACTAAATTGCTTCCCCCAGCCTATGTTCAAAGGAGACACTGCCTCAGAATATGAAATCACTTAAAAAGATTTATTGTCTACATTTTCTTCATGGAAGCCAATATAATGTGTATGAATCTTCCAAGTTTTATTCCATTAAATAATAACAATGGTGGTAATGAAATAGCAGTTATCTCCTGATCACTTCCTCTGAAGTGCCAGCTAAGTGATTGCCACAAGAGCTCATACTCTCAACCCTAGTCATAGGCTGGTGTTGTCACTTACCTTCTGTTGCAGATGACACAGAATCATATACAAAACCAGTATTTCAGGACTAACACAATATGGTGGCCCTGACTCTCTTTTCCAGTATCCATATCTATTTAATTATTTTGTAAAAAGTACTTTCTGGTTGCAAAAGGGAAAATTTTCACTCTTCCTTTGTTTCCAGTCACCAGCAGGTGTTCTCCACCCCAAATGTAGGATAGAATGACGAGTCTCTGTTGTTGCTGCTGCTGTTGGGGATTGGACCCAGGGCCTCACTCATGCTAAGCACGTGCTCTACTACTACCACTGAGATGCACCCCCAGACCCTGATGAGCTCTTTAAAATCACTAATAGCAAGTTGGGCACAATTCTGCATGTCTGTAATCATCAGGAAACTGAGGCAGGAGGATCACAAGTTGAAGCCAGCCTCAGCAACTCAGTGAGATCTTGAGGATGTAGCTCAGTGGTGGAGTGCTTGCCTAGTATTTTGTAAAGCCCTGGGTGTAATCTCTAGTCACACACACACACACACACACACACAAATTACCAACACCAAAGTCATATTTTCAGCCAGTTAAGTCAGAATACCACAGGTAGATATCACTATAGAATAAGTTAAGCTCACTGCTATCAAACTAAATGACAATCAGAGAAAGTTTCATTACAGTTTAATTACATTTATTTGAGAGGAGCACAGTCTTACACAGCCTTGCAATGGGGAATACATGTGTCAGAGTAAACTATGAGCAAATTCAAGGAGGTTGGTGAGGCAGGGGAAGTTTTTAAAATAAGAGGATTACAAGAGATATCTTGAAATAATAGTCCTTGGCTATGAAGATCAACAACATGGATGGTGTCAGTCCAAGATTAAACGAACAGTTGTTGGACAGATGTCCTTGTGGAGGTTATTTATTTGTTTATTTATTTGTTTTGTAATGTTGTGATCATCTTTTTGCAAGGCTGTGGTTCTGGCAAAGCCTTTTGTGAGTAGTTCTTATTATCAGGCACACATGCATGAGATCACCTCCTTCACCATCTCCCATGTTTCTTTTTCTTTCTTTCTTTCTTTCTTTCTTTCTTTCTTTCTTTCTTTCTTATTATTTTCTTTTTTGGTTAGAATTGGACAAAAGTAACTCCATTTTAGCCAGGTGTGGTGGCACACACCTATAATCCCAGCAATGTAGGAGGCTGAGGCAGGGGGATCACCAAGTTTCAAGTCAGCCTCAGCAAGTTTGCACCACCCAGTCTCAAAATAAAAAATAAAAAAAGGGCTGGAGATGTAGCTCAGTGGTAAAGCACCCCTGGGTTCAATCCCTAGTAGCAAGAGGGGGAAAAAAGTGACTCTGCTTTGATCTTGACAACTTTCACACCACATGGATGAAGATGGAAAAAGAACAAAAGACTAAACTTGTATTGAAAACGTGGTGGCAAGTTCATGGTTAGAAGAGTATCACTTAGAGGGAGAAGAGCATGGGACCATGCTTTTGGCCTCAGTGAGTGAGCGATTATAAGGAGAGGGTGACGAGTACTGAAACTAATGTCGGGTCATCTGTTTTCCTATTTCATAGCACGACATGCTAGGATGTATATCTTGAGCTCTGAATCTGGAGGGAGAAAACAATCAAGATTTAGGGGTAATTCTCAAAAATAATATATATTTAGTATATATGTATATAGATAAACATATACATACATATATATGTGTGTCATATATATATATATATATATATATATATATATATATATATATATATATACACACATACATGTATAATATTACACAGCTAATATTTGTCAGGGGTAGAGGAGAACACTATGGAAATGGGTCCAGGCATCAGTATATTTTAAAGACTTCCCAAGAGATCCCAAAGTGCAGCCAGGCTTGGGAATAACATCCTACCTCAATCCAGCCTTCCTGCCCTGCGCATGTCCACTCTGCTGTTTGGTGGATGGCATATGGACCTGCTGTGAGATAAGCAGACAAGCCAATGGCACTCAGGCCTGCAGAAGGGATGCTGTGCTCAAGCCGGATTGACATGGCGTCTACAGCCAGGCAGCTGTTTGGAGACAGAGAGGCTGAGACTACTCCATCTCCTTCTCCCCTCTTCATTCACTCGTGTTGGTCACGCATTTGCGTCATCCATGTTATTCCCCATGACTGAGCTCCTAAGGCAGCACCTGGACTTGGCGCCAGCTGCAGCTTCAAAGTGCCTGGAGAAAATTCTGAAGACCTGGCTCTTTTTGTCTATGAATAGACCCGTCATTTCATTCCTCTCCTTCAGTGCCAGGCAATAGGAAGGGACCCTTTCACAAGGTCTCATTATATTCTTTGATTTCTAAGTCAGTCTGATTTTCAGGAACTTTGCCTTCCTTTCTTTGATTCAAATCTCAAGACAATGATCAAAACACACAATGTTCCTGTTAACTCAGAGTTTTATCTCTTACAAGAGTGATTTAAAAGGTAGAAAAGGAGTTGGTGGTATAGCTGGGTGGTGGAGCATTTGCCTAGCATGTGCAGGGCTCTGGGTTTGGTCCCCAGAACGGGGCGGGGGGGGGGGGGGTGTTTTTTTACATGCTATCAAGTAGCACTATTGGCATAAACAGTTTTGCCAAGTTTTTAATATCCCATCAGATATATATGTAGGAAAAACCACCCTATTTATGTTATCTGAGCCCAGAATTTGATCCATTTTATTTATAAATATAAAATATTGTTTACATGATTTCCATACACACTAAATTTCTGTGAATGTGACTACAATGTGAAAGAGAGAAGATTCTACTTTTTATTTTCCCCTTGCTTTAGTATGAGTTGTTGGCCATTTCAGAAAATTCCACAGGTGATTTGGGACATTTTACCTGCCAATATTGAGATGGGAATTTGGTGTAAAGGGGGAGATATACTGAATCTCAAAGAAAGCACCCATGAACCTCAGTAATGCAGAAAATGCCCAAGACGATAGAAATCTCACACCAAACAGGCTGCTGTTTCTCCCTCAGGAAATGGCCCATTGTCCCTTGAATGTGTATTTCTTGCTTTACCCCAAACTTCCCACTCTCCCCACATTCTCCCTTGAATGTGCCCTTGCTTTCCTAAATAAACTTCTATCTATGCCTCTGGCAAGTGATAAAATTCTTTTCCATCACATATGCCAAGAACCTTGCTGGTCCTCAGTCAAGTTCCCCTTCTCTCATAGAACTCTGCAGACCCTTTGTTGGAGACATCTCTTCTCCTGCGACAATATGAGATGCCTGTATTAGTCTTCGTTGTAGTCACTTTCATGGTGATTTTACATATAAGGACAAGCATATGTCTGGTTCTTTATGTCCCCTCTTGTGCCTCTGTATATTATATCATTGTTAATCACTTTCTTTTTATTTCTCCTTTATATTTTAGTTGGGATATTATATCAATTTTTCTTACAAAATTATGCTGGAGGTAATTAATATTGACTGAATCGCATTTGAGGATAATTAAGAAGATGTTACAGAACTTGTCGTGATATGGAAAATAAGCATATGAGATGTTCCACATCATAAGTCAGCAGGAACGTACAAATTAAAGCAACAGAGAGATATTGAGGTAGGTGGACTCTCCAGGAGACAGTGAGAAAGACACCATAGCAGGGGAAGACCCAGATCCAAGAGCATGACCATCCATGCTTGTCTCTTTTGCCAGATGAACAAAACCTCCAGTGCATGTTTATACCCAATCGATTAGAACAAAAACAAAATCAATAAATGTCACCAGATTCAAAGACTTACACAATGTGTCCGCAACTGATTTATGACTAGAATGCTTAACCTAGCAGAAACATTCTGAACCCCAAATATGAATGGGATTTGATTTTCACAAAAGCTGGCTTAGGAACCTGCACATTTCTTCCCCAGAAAAAAATATATATCAAGGAAGCCCAACCCTCACATGTCACTTGTCTTTTCTTCTCTTGATAAGTGAGGGGCCTCCATACCCTTCTTTGGGGATGCATATACCTTTGTTACCATAATTTATAATATATATAATTTTTTACTTATACCTTGCTTTCAATGTGTCCTGAAATTGCTTTCAATGGTGTAAGGCCAGAACCTGCCCTGACCAAGCTAAGGTCCCAATTCCCCCTTGGAGGGACTTCCTTGAACCCTTATCTTATGACAATACTACTACATGACTATTAGAAAGGCCCAAATCTAAAGCATTGACAGCATCAAATGCTGACCAGGATATGGAGCAACAGGAACTCTCATTCAGTGCTACCAGGAATGCAAAATGGTACAGCCACTTAGGCAGTTTCTCATAAACTAATCATGCTCTTACCAATATAATCCAGCAATGATGTTCCTTGTATTTTCCAGATGAATTAAAAATTTACTTGTACATAAAAATGTGTGGGTGTTTGTAGCAGCCTTCTTCATAATTGAGAAGTATTGGCTACAACCAAGATACCTTTGAATAAGTGAGTAGACAAATAAACTGTGGTACATCCAGGCAGTGGAATATTATTCAGTACTAAAAGTAATGAGCTTTTAAGTCATGAAAACATGTAGATAAGAGGGAAATTTAAACACATGTTATTAAGTAAAGGAAGCCAATCTGAAAAGACTACATACCATATGATTCTATATGACATTCTGGAAAAAGGAAAACCTTAGAGACAAGTAAGAAGATCGTGTTTACCAGACAACAGGGGAAAGGGAGGAAATGAATAAACAGCGCAAAGTGATTTTAAGACAATGAACCCTAAAGACAGAGTGAATCCTAAGGTAAGCTGTGGACTTCCGTGTGTAATGATGCGTCAATACAGGGGCATTGATTGCAACAAGGTATCATACCACTCTGATGGAGGAAGCTATGAATGTGTGGAGGCAGGGGGTACATGGGAAATCTCTTTCCACTCAATTTTTCTGTGAACTGCTCTAAAAATTAGACCTTTTTCAATAAACCATACATTTGTTGCTGATTTTTTTTTTTAATAAAAAGTGAGCATTGGGCCAGACACGGTGGCACATGCTTGTAATCCTAGTGGCTCAGGAGGCTGAGGCAGGAGGATCACAAGTTCAAAGCCAGCCTCAGCAAAACTGAGGCTAAGCAACTCAGTGAGACTCTGTCTCTAAAGAAAATGCAAAATCCTGCTGGGATGTGGCTCAGTGGTTGAGTGCCCCTGAGTTCAATCCCCAGTAAACCCCCACCACCACCAAAAACAAAAGTGATCATGGGTCTGATAGACTTGAGAACTCTTCCTTTAGAAGAAAATGAAGCCTGACTTTTTAGGCTGAATCCAAAGGAATTAACTAATATAAGAACTTAAACTTCAAAGAGTAAAGTTCACAGGTTTTTTTCCAAATACCTGCTCTGAATTACAAAGTTTCAGAATAAATGTAGTACTATATGTATAAGACATAGCCATTTATTCTGAAACTATGTCTTGTACATGATACAATTATGTAATTATATATGCATTCCACATTATATACACTGTGTATGCATTCATACTACTAAGGATAATGCAACTCTGAATTCCAGTTATTTCCTTCTAACCCAATGAGAAGAGCATATGTCAGTTTTTTTTTTTTTTCAGTCAAGATAGTACACAGTAAGTAGAACTTCATCATGAGAGCATCATTGTCATACACACAGGATTTTCTTTAGGCTTCCTAATCAGGCCCTCCCTTCTCAAGCCTAAAAGTCCTGCCAGTGATCACAGCACCTGGCTTGCTTGGGAGGTTTCATCCTGGACCTTGGTGGAGGCCTGATCTTGTTTTGCTGCAGTTGCTATAGGAGCAGTCCCTGTTGCAGGGACAACTCCATCCCTAAACAAATATATGCAAAGGGCTGAGAAGCAGATTTTAGCCTTCACTGCTTTAGACATCAAGGAATGAAAACAATCTGTACAATCCAAACAGAATAAATCCCAATGCCCCCAAGGGAAGTGGGTGTTTATTTTTAGGCTTTAAGCACCAGGACCCAGCTTCACCACTGGCCGACCTAGCACTGTGAGCGAGTCTGTAGAATGGCCAGGAGCTGGGCCAGCGGAGGTGCAAATGCAAACCAGCCTGGCTGGGAGCCTCTCATCCTGGGGGGCCTCTCTTCCTGCGGCAGGGGCATCTGCTTCAGCAGGGTTAAGCCAGGGTGGTCGTTGGCCCAGAGGTGTCCAAGCTGCAAAAAGTGCTGGAATGCAGACTCCTTGCTCAGCGTCTTGGTCACCCTTGGTGTCCAGGCACTGGAGCCCGGAGGTGCCACGGGATTGGGCCGAAATGGTGGCGTATACCGGGCTGGGACAGGGCCTGAAGCGGTCCTCATCTCCTGTGGTGCCCTCCACCCAGGTGGGAAACAAATTGCGCCTGCCTGGCCGGCCCAGGTAGAGAAGGGTGCGCCAGGTCCTCAGCCAGCCCAAATCTCTCCCCCGAGAACCTAGAAGAGTGTGGACCAGCCCCAAGTCCCGGTGCAAATGGGGCTGAGGGAAGGCATCCCCGTCCCTTGCCTTAAAAATTTATGGCCTAAAGCATCATAATCCTGCCTTAGTTTTGAAATGATAGTTTTGAATATCAGCATACTATTATGAGCACATACTTTTACAAAATGGACTATCTTTTTAGGGCAGCTTTAAGTTTACCAAAAAAATGACCAGAAAGTCCAGAGAGTTCCTGTATACCTAACTCCTTTTTGTGCAGTTTCTCTAGTATATTTGTCAGTACTGATGAACCAATATTCATACATTAGTATTAACCAGATCCAGGATATAAATTAGGATTCACTGTTTTGTACAGTTGTAAGAATTTTGACAAATGCATAACGGTCATACATCCCTAGTAACCACAGTTCCAATCAGAGCTTCTCACATAGTTCTAGAAGAAAAAACTCTTTTTTGGTGCCCTTTAACTTTCCCATGAACTAATGGCACAAAAACTGATTAAAAAAAAAATTCTAGGTACTTTCCTCGGGTTTCTGTACTACCAATTGCATCTACAATATTTGGGAAAATAGATATAAGACCTAGTACAAGTTCCCAAACTTTATTAGGGTAAATAGTAACCATAAAAGGTTAGAAAACATATCCAAATACCCAACATTTCCATGTGGGAAGCCCAGTGACAAAAACCACTCCCTCTCACAAAATGTGGCTTTTGCGATGATAATGTGCAATGGAAATGTATTTTATAGAATAAAATGTTAATGTTTTTATACTGGGTCTTTGAGCCACTGGGAGGCTTTTATCTCCCTTTCAAAAATCTTGTGGATTACCTAAGTTTGAACATCACAGTGTCATTTATTAGACACAGAATCTCATCTAAATTATCTGCTCTAAGTGAATGGAGGACTGTTGGGTTGATCCAGTTGACAGATGTCTTTCTTTCACAGAGTGGACTTTGCTCTTTATACATCTGAGATATGAGCAAAATCATGGTTTGATGAGAGATTTGTTTATATAAGAAATTTCCCCTGAGAAATTCCATTCATTTTTTTGTTAGCCTGTTTCACTAGACTCTGGAGCATCCACTAAGGAAAAACATGGGAAGGAGAATGGGAAAAAAGCTAAACCAAAGGACACTAGGAAATAGAAAACATCTAGGGGTAGAATAGCTTTCATTTAATACAAATGAAACATTACTAACTCATTTATCTACACTGTACAAACAAAGTGTATTATTAGAGGTTAACGGTCATCTTTTTTTCTTCCCTAGTCATCTAGCATTGTTATCAGCAAATGGTCACATTTGTTCTATTTCTGACCAGAAAGATATAATGTAAGGGAACATAAGTGGGAAAATTACTAAGGTGTCTCATCAATTATCTGTAAAACCCCTAAACCTACACATGCCATAAGGATTAGAGCCAAAGGGAAGTGGTGTAGTGATAAAGGATCCAATAAGATTACTAGATTCCTATATTCAGTATATTAGAGGAAACAATTTTCCAGGGCCAGATCCCCTATAAGTAAATTACCAAACATCACTTATTACTTGGCCAAACGTTTGATCACTATCTAGGTTACAGTTTGCTATAAAACTTACACAAGCACCTAAGTCACTGAACCACTTCTATGTAAGTACAAGCAGGCTATTCGTTGGCACGGAAGGTATTCCGCAGCCCTGAGATTTTGATAGTCTTGAGTTTTCCCAGAACATATGTGCGCTCAATAAATATTGTCCCCAGAGGTCAGCTAACCAGCAACTCTCAGTGTGCGCAGAGCACTGCAGCAATTTTCCCTGATGAGCTCAAGTGACTTAAAGATTTGTTGCCACTTCTTATTTTTAAATATCTTCAGGATCTTCAGGTCTATGACTCCTGCATTCATACAAGGATATGCACACAAGGTCGGGTGAGCAAAATCAATCTCCTCCCCTTTGTTAACTTGATTAGTAGGCTGCTACAACCAAATGCATGTTAAATTTCTGTGTCCCCTGGAAGGAAATAGACTAGTAGGGAAAAAATATTCCTAATATTACTTTATTTCACTATATATATTTTTGTTTGCTTGCTTGCTTGTCTCTTTTGTTATTTTGTTAGTCAAGAAAGAAAACTAATTTCAAGAGCCTTGCATGGTGGCTTTTCTCTTGCTATTTATACCTATTAAGTGAATTTTACACATCTATTTATGTTATTGAACTATAATTTATACAAAGTTATGCTGTGTTATTTATTTATACATACTGGGGATTGAACCCAGGGGCATTTAACCACTGAGCCACATGCCCAGCCCTTTTTATATTTTATTTAGAGACAGGGTCTCGCTGAGTTGCTGAGGCTGGATTTGACTTTGTGATCCTCCTGTCTCAGCCTCCCCACCCCCCTGAGATTGCAGGCATGTGCCACCATACTGGGCTGTTGTATTTTCTATGTGACTATTTTGAAACTTATTTTGTTATTTAACATTCCATTGAGCATCAGAAATGTGACACATACCAGCTTATTTGAATTTGGATATAATTTCTGATGATCATCTTTCAACTACTTCATTGTTTTATTAAGCAGTTTGAAAGGCCTATTTGTACACTTTAAAATTCTCTACAGTAATCTGGCCATTTTCTTTTCAACTTGGCAATAAAAGTGCAGAAAGGGGTTGGATATTAACAGAAAATGTCTTAAGAAATTGGGAACAATTGGTTCACTTACATCCTTACACTTTTCATTTGCAGGGAGAGTAATGAAGTCCTGTCCTTATAGTCAAAAGGCCCTCCAGCTGTGTCCTTCTGTACATGTGAATCACATCCTCTGAGTGTCCTATTGGAGGGGTTGCATTGCAGTGATGTGTTTATGAATTCTACAGAATTCCTTATAAAACATGAACAAGGGGGCTGAGGCTGTAGCTCAGTGGTAAAGTGCTTGCCTTGTATGTGTGAGACACTGGGTTCAATCTTCAGCACCACATAAAAATAAATAAAGACACTGTGTGTTCATCTACAACTAAATACACATTAAAGAAAAAACATGAACAAGTAAATTTGGTGAGATTCTTTTCATCTACAGTAGGATCTAACTCATAAAAGAAAGTAATTAAGAATTCCAACAAAGATAGAAAGAGCCTATTCCTTGCCACCCACCCTCTCAACAGAGAGGTGAGCTTCGATCAGGCTTTCTTCTGGTGACCCCCTAGAACTGCCTGCGAGGCTTAAGGAAGAGAGGTAACTCATTAATTTTGAGCAGAGTCAGAGCACATGCCCAGTCATCAGGGGACAAGCAAGGCCAGAGGGGAGAGGATAGCACCTACTGGGATTTTAGGCAAGCTGGGTTTCTTTTCCTTAGCTGTTGCTACAGTTTAGATCTGAAATGTCCACCAAAGACTCAGTCCCCAGTTTGGTGTTACAGGGAGGTGGTAGAACCTTTAAAGGGTGGGGACCTGGTGGGAGGTCTTAGGTTATTGGAAGTGTGTCCTTGACACAGACTGTGGGACCCTGATTTCTTTCTCTTTCATACTCCTTCATTTTTAGCCATGAGGTGAGCAGCTTTTTCCACCACAGAGTCCCACCGTGTTGTGCTACCCCACCACAAACAAAGCAATGGCGTCAACCAGTCATCGATTAAAACTTACAAAATTGTGAGCCAAGATAAACCTTTTCTTTTCCTTTTTTAAAAAAATTTGTTATAATATATTCATACATTCACACAATAAAACAGTATAATTTGATCAATTTCATTCTCCAGTCCCTCCCCTTCCTTTCCCTCCCCCCATTCCCCTTTTTCTATTTTTTTTTTTTGTCGTTGTTGTTCTAATTAGTTATACATGGCATTGGAGTACATTTTGACACATTGTACATATGGTAAACCTTGTGTGTGTGTGTGTGTGTGTGTGTGTGTTTTGCTGGGGGTTAGAACCCAGGGCCTGGTGAATGCAAGACAAATGCTCTACCAACTGAGTTATATCCCCAGCCCAACCTGTTCTTTTTGTAAGTTGATTTATCTCAGGTATTTGTTATAGTAACAGAATCCTAACACAGCTGTAAATGAAGATATTTTCCAGATTAAGAAAAATATGCACAATTCAATAACCTCATTGTCTACAGGCATAATAAATCTATGGGTGCAAGTAAATTCATATCAGTATTTATATCTGTAGTTCTGTTAAATTACTAGTTCCCCCTATATAGCTATAGGACCTCATATTTAAAGTCCTCCTAGTTGTCAGTGGATAACTAGAAAAACAAAATATGAATATTATTCAACCATATAAAGGAGGCAAATTCTGATTCATCCTACAATATGGGTAAACACTAAAGATATTATGCTAAATGAATGAAGCCAACACAGAAGGACAAATGTTCTACACTTCCACTTATAAGAGGCACCCAAGGTGGTCAAATTCATAGAGGTAGAAAGTAAGATAGAGGTTAACAGGGACTATAGGTGTCGGGGCGCCATGAACAGGAGCTGAACACAATCTGACCCTTAATCTTGAGCGATGGAGGTGTGGAACTGGCCTCCGCTCGCATTGCAAAAGCAGGTGGCTCTCACCTTTACTCTGCAAGGAATTACAGCTCTGGGAGGGGGCGTCACCCAATGGGACTGGGCTACACCCCCTTGAAACCCAATCCCTTGCCTCATTGGATGAAACATTCTCAGTGTCTTCCCCTCAATAAATAGACCCTTAAGATCGAGAGCCACCCTGATTCCTGCAAGCAAAGGGTATTTCTGAGTGTTGTGTGCTCCCTTCGCCGTTTTCTTTGTTATTGATGTATCCAGCTCTTGTGAACCCAGCTCAGGTCGCCACCCTGGCTAGCTGGCGATACGCAGGGCAAGGGAAAATGGGGAGTTATTGTTTAATAGGGACAGAAGTTCAGTTTAGGATGATGAAAAAGTTCTGGAGATGGATAATGGTTGTATAATAACATAAATGCACTCAATACCACTGAATTGCATATTGCATAAGCAGTGCATATATTTTACTACAATGAATAAAATAAAATAGTTGGTATTCAATTTTTTTTTAAAGAAAGAAAATTATCTAGTTGTCCTGGCACACCTCAGAATTATGTCAAATAATAAATTCTTGAGGAAGGGGTTACTTGTTTACTGCCACTGCTGTCATTGCTCCAACACGCGCGCGCGCGCACACACACACACACACACACACACACACACACACACAGGCTGTATCCTTTCTTCCTGTAACCCAATGCTTCAAAGCTTCTTGCGCACTCGCTGGCATAGGTTTCCATTTGGTCCTCCCTGCTGCACAGCCAAGCTGTATTCCATGGAAAAACGGACAAAGGTTCCTCCCTGGTGCTCTGGGCCAAAGCCCAGGCCCCAAAGCAGCATGCTTGTGCTTGAAGGCTCCCAGTTTTACTCCTAGAACAGCTTCTGTCCCTGCTGTGGTTTGAATATGGTTGTTCCCCGGAACTCTTGCATAAGTCTAATGCTCAAAGTCTCATGTAAATGGTATTAAGAGGGTGGAAACCTATTGGACTGTGGGGTCTGGAGGTGCGGCCTTTGTTAAGTGGTTAGAATAGATTAAGTCATTAGGGTGGAGCCCACATGGCTGACCTGATGGATTTATAAGGAAAGGAAGAGAGAGACATATACACACATAGGTAGAAACACATGTACTTCGGCACTCATGATGTACACTAAGGCAGTGTCCCTCACCAGAGCCTGGGCTTTGGATTTCCAGCCTCCAAAACTGTGTAAGCATTTGTGAGTATCCTTCCTCAGGTACTTTGTTGTACAAATAAATAAAATAAAATTTTTAAAAATCTTTAAAAACAAAACCTTAGACCATTTAACCACCAGGCTCAACCTTGGTCCAAGAACTGGGAAGAGGACCATATTAGGCCATCCCCTCTATTATCTTAATTTCTTCTCTTAGCTTCTGTACAGAAAAATCACCCCACTACATAATTTAGTTAAGACCCCAAAGCATTTTGGTCTGGCCATTTATTCAAAGAGAAATGCAGAGTAAGGAATATGGATATGCTTAGGTCCTCACGCCAGATCTTGCTTGGACTCAGCTAAGGTAACCTGGTCATGATTCTAAAACCAGATGTTCAAGGGAGCATTGGGTCACATTAAATCTGACAGTGTGTTTTCTATTTCTTGTACAAATAACTAGTTGATCCAATTATTGTTATTTATTAATACCTCTCCATGCAATCCAGAGCAGTCTGTCAGAATACGAAGGACTTCCAGGCAGTCAGGGAATCAGTGTCTGGGATGGCGGGGTGAGGAGGAGCAGAGCTTGGTGGGTCAGGCACTTCCAGATATCCTCGGAGCAGAGCAGCTGGAGGAGGTAGAACTTCATCCTCTACATCCCTCAGGACTTTTTGATAAATTATAATGGGTTGAGTCATGTCCCCTCAAAACACAAGGTCAAGACCAACCCCAAAATACAAGTGAATGTGCTCTTACCTGGAATATAGCCTTTGTAGAAAAACAGTTTTAGATGAGGTCATTCTGGTTTAGGGTGGGCCCTAAATCCATTGACTGGTGTCTCTGAGAGAAAGGAAGAGAAAGTTAGGATACAAAACCCAGACACACAGAGATGAAGGTCATGTGGTAACAGGCAGAGTTGTTCGTGATGCCAGTACAGGCTGAGGAATGGTGAGGCTTGGTGCTGGCACAGAAGCCAAGAGACAGGCATGGAGCAGATTCTCCCTTGGAGGCCCCAGGAGGAATTAAGCCTGCCACCACCCTGATTTCAGACTTTTGTTCTGGACTTGAAATAAATACATTTCTGTTTTTGCTAAGCCACCCAGTTAGTGGTAATTTGTTATAGCAGTTCTGGAAAAGTAATACAAAACCTGGATTTTTCCAAGAGTAAGGGACTAGAAAATCTTGGCTTGGGTTTGCTATTATCTTAAGAACAATGAGAGTTTAGTAATTAATCAAGTTTTCTTTTCTCTATGCAGGCTTTGCACAGACATTGAAGCCCAACTATAAGTCATTACAAATACATTTGAGAGTTCCACCTATCTTTTCTTCCTCTGATTTAAAATCCCAATATATTTTTTTGTTATCGTGATACGAATTTATATTTGTATGTTGTCACAATTTTTTTTTTTAATTTTGGACTAAAGAGAGGGAAAAAAAAACAGTGGTAACTGGTTAAACCTGTCTTTCTCTTCCTTCTCCAGGGAAAAAAGCTGAAATATGATTAGCCCAGATTATTAACTCTGAACAAACCTGGATTACTTTTTGAACCAAAATGACCTTCTCATTTCAGGGTTCAGAGTTCAGTCTTCTCATTTCAGGCTAGAGAAAATGAGAGCCCAAGGTCATATGGTTAAATATGAGTAGATGCCACCATCTGTGTCCCTGATTATTCAAAAACACTTCTGCTGGTTGAGTATCAGCTGTGGGGATGGGAGGCAGCACCAGTTGGAATTTCATACAGTGTTATAGATAAAGATACAAATTAAAATAATTTATGTTATTGACTATCAATAATAAGAACTTTAACCATTGCTAAAATCAGTCACTCATCTACATTTTACTGTCAGATTCCCAAAGCAAAAGCCTCTTTTTTGGGAGGGGTTGGGGCTCAAACCCAAGGCCTTGTACATGCTAAGCACACAGTCTACCACTGAGTTATACCTTTCAGAAAAACTCTTGAGTTATTCTACCTTTTGTTAATTACAAACTTTAAATTCTACCAGGAGACTTATTTATTATTATTATTCCAGAAATGGAGAACTATGTTATAACTTGGATTGCCTTAAAAAATTGAAAATTTGGGCTGGGGTTGTGGCTCAGTGGTAGAGCGCTCACCTAGCACATGCGAGGCCCTGGGTTCAATCCTCAGCACCACATAAAAATAAATAAATAAAATGAAGGTATTGTGTTCAACTACAACTAAAAAAATAAATATAAAAAAATTGAAAAGTTAAAAAAGAAGATGACAAGAGGACACATTTTGGCCAGTTTTTGGACAAAATGGATTTTCAGAATAATACGTGGAACAAGAGGAACATCAAAGCTCCATATGCCCTGGAGGAATTGAGGGAACACTCAGGTGGCCACACTAGTTACCCCTGTGGGCTGAGGGGGAAAGATGACAAAGCCCAGCATAGGAGGGCATTTCTAGAAGACCATCCCTATATCTCCTAATGGCAAAGAGGAGGACACTCAACACAAGAGTTAAGCACTTCTTAACTTGCTCTTTTGCCTCACAATCATAAGAGACTAGAAAATGTTGCCACAGAGTTGAGCAGAACAGGAGAATAAAAGAAAAAAATCCCTTAGAAAGAAATAACTAAAACACTTAATAATAATAATAATAATAATAGATGGGAAATCAATAAATGGGCAAAGGAACTGAGGAGGTTGAGAAAGGAGGACCACATGTTTGAGATCAGCCTCTGCAACTTAGCCAGGTCCTCAACAACTTAGAAAGACCCTTTCTTAAAATAAAAAATAAAAAGGACTGGGGATGGGGCTCAGTGGTACAGCTCCCTAGGTTCAATCCCCTTTCCAAAAAAAAAAAAAAAATTATATAAATGACTATTTCAGTACATATATACAATAGAAAAACCTACCTTATTGTATACATCTTCAATTTATAGCAATACAAGATATATGTGCTTTTGTACAATGTAACAAAATTATGCCAATATTATAAATGTGTTACTCAGAAACATTAAAGTTTAATACTTAACTTTAAAAAATTGGCAAAGGAACTGAATAGGCACTTTACAGAAGAAGAAA